GTGCTTGAAAATTTTAGACATTTCATTCCACCATTTCTTGAGAAAGAATTATCAGTAAAATCAAGAGAAAAATTTTAAGAGAAAAAAAAATCAAGTGCCAGAGGGCTTTGGTCAGAATAGACTATTAAATCTTCTGCATAGAAAGTGTGAGTAAATGTTAATTGAATCATGTGAAGTCATGGCGTGTATGGATAGAGTATATATGAATTTGTTTTAGGATCTTGAGCAGCAATGACTAAGTGACCTTCCAGTGACTCAACCATCTTATTGTTTGAAAAGGCATTTAAAAAAATTAAGTTTAGTATCAAATCTTTTCAATATTATATGATTTTTGTAGTTTTATGAGAAGTTATATTGGAGCTTTTTAAATACAGAAAATGTAAAGAATATATAAAACACACATATGTTCACTTCTCAAAGAATTTATACAAGTTAGTATTTCATCCCATTTCTTTCAAGCCCTTTTTAAATGAAATACTATAGATAAAGTTGAAATTTTCTTTTACCATGATCACTAGTGAGCCTACCTAGTGGTTTGCCTATTTTTATTTTTTTGAAAGAAGTAGCTATTGGTTTCATTGATCTTTTGGACTGTATTCTCTATTTCTGTTTCATTAATTTTATTTCTTTTGGTTACTGTTTTGTTCGTCTCTATTTTCTCAATATGAGAAACTTTTTTTTTAATTTGGGCTCTATGTTTTTCTTTCCAACTTCTGTCAGCTATAGATTTTAAGTTGCCACAGACACCATTTATTGCTTATTTCTTAGAAAAAGAAGTTCTGATAAAAATATAGTTAGCACCATATCCATTCTAATTTTGATCCTGTGAGAGTCAGTATATAGTTAAGAATTTCACAGGATCTTAGAATCATCATTAAATTTTAGAGATGTTTTTCTTTTTTTTTAAGTTATTTTTTATTGCTGTAACAGTATTAACATTTTAACTACTATAAATGATGCCACAGTTGTATAATAAATAGTATATTTAATGGACACTGTACTAACACTTAGACAGATGGTTACTTTTCTCATTAAGTTCCTAATGATAATTCTCTGTCACTAGTATATCAGGAAAAAATGTATAAAACATAATAAATAAAGTCTTTTAATGACTTTAATGACTCTCAGTGAACAGCACTATACATAATTTATTATCTTTCTTATCCTTAAATTCTTTACATGATTCATTTCTGTTTATACACAACAATTACAATACCTTTTCTTTTTTGCAGTATTTTTTCTCATTCTCTAAATTTCTGTCTTTTTACTCTTATTTTGGGTCACCTTTTTAAAATACAACATTGTTAAGTGATGGGAGACTAACAGAAACTAAAAGTACCCATCCCATACAAAATTAAATATGTGGAAGCAATTGAGTAGCAGACATTAACCTTACTGCTTCAAGGAGGATTTATTTGGTATGTTTTTAATGAGAAGCATGAAAAAATCATTTAACTTTTTTTAAAGATGTATTTATTTATTCATACAGAACTGGGGGTACAGGCCAGAGATGTGGAGGGTGAGAGGATTCACCAGAGACAGAGTGAGGAGCAGAACAGGCAGATGGTCGAAGTACACTACTGAGGGGCACAGAGGGTGGGTCAGGAGAGGTCTGCCTCGCCATGTGGTCACCTCCGGGGCAGGCGGGAATCGAACTCATGCGGAAGTGGCTATAGCCTTCCAGTGCTGTGCTTCAACCCGCTGCGCCACCAGGGAGGGCCTAACTTTTTAAAATTGCAGTACTGTGGGCCCTCCCTGGTGGTGCAGTGGGTTAAAGCACAGCACTAAGAAGCTTAAGCCACTTCCGCATGAGTTCGATTCCCGCCTGCCCAGGAGGTGACCACATGGCGTGGCAGACCTCTCCTGACCTGCCCGCTGCTCACCTCAGCAGTGTACTTCATCCATCTGCCTGTTCTGCTCCCCACACTGTCTCTGGTGAATCCTCTCACCCTCCGCATCTCTGGCCTGTACCCCAGTTCTGTATAAATAAATAAATCTTTTTAAAAAATTGCAGTACTGTACAGTATTAATGCAAAAATATTCCATTCTTTTGTCCTAAACTTTTCCAAGGAACAACTAATGAATCCTGGGTATTTGCAGTAAAGCTCAATTCAGTTTCCACTAGAAGTAAAAGTTTTTCATTTCTTTTGGAATATAAATAGGCAGGAATCCTAAAATTCCTTGATACTGCCAAGTGTATTACCCCTTTACCCTGCAGAATTTCTACGCAGTTAAGCAACAAATCATAACAACAGTCAGAATTTCACTTTGTTATTAGCTGACCTAATATCTATTTTAATGTATTACTATGCTTCATTCTATGCTATAGCATGTTCTTATGATTAAGATTTTAGGGTGAGTGGAGACTAAGGACTCCTCATTAACCTAAGAATAAAAAATGCTGGTCCAGCAGCACTGTAGCTGGGAAAAAACAAAAAAAGCAGATGACAGAGTGTGTGTGGAACAGGCCCTATTTTTATTAAGTTGGTTTACTATGGAGGAAGTAGAAAGGAAGAAAGAAAATACCTGCTTATCCGATCTTAAGAAAGTTGACCTGGCCCTCCCTGGTGATGCAGCGGGTTAAAGCACAGCCCTAAGAAACTTAAGTCACTTCCGCATGAGTTCCATCCCCACCTGTCCTGGAGGAGATCCACATGGCGAGGCAGACCTCTCCTGGCCGACCCGCTGCTCCCCTCAGCAGTGTGCTTCGTAGATCTGCCTGTTCTGCTCCCCGCTCTGTCTCTGGTGAAGCCTTTCACCCTCTGCATCTCTGGCTGTAACCCAGTTCTGTATGAATAAATAAATAAATCTTTAAAAAAAAAAGTTGACCTGGTTTAAATTTGAAGTATAAAGGTCCCAAATGTGAGGCTTCTGCATTGTATTATCTCCATTCACAGCCTAGTCTTATATGAGCACTTACAAAACTGAATTTTTTTCTGTTAATTGACCCTCCACCCTCTTATGCCTAGCACAATCTGAGGCCTGCATTCTGAATCTTCTGAATTGTGGGGTGACGAGGCTTAACATTGGAAAAGGAGTTGGGGTTTCTTCCTCCTAAATTACTAATCTTAAAAAGAATATATGTAAGTGTCACTGTACAATATTTTGACAGCATAGGATTTTTCCCTTCAGGTGTAGTTACCCTGGCTCTTCCAACACTAAAACACTCATAGCTCTCCACCATAGTCCATTGTGCTCTCCCCAAACCCCAGCCCATTCTAACCCCTCCCCCTCTGGATGTCTCAGATCTGCGGTGAGCTTTCAAGTGTCAATTTGCCTTTTGACCCTGTGTTTGGTTTCTCTATATGCCAATATAAGTGATACCATTTGGTTCTTAAACTTCTCCTTCTGGCTTTTTTTCGCTTATCATAAGTCTTTCCAGCTCTGTCCATTTTGCAGCAAATGGCATGACTTTATCTTTTTGTATCACTGAATTGTATTCTATTGTGTATATATACCACATCTTCTCTATCTATACATCTGTTTGGGGGCACTTGGGTTGTTTCCATATTATGGCTATTGTAAATAAGCTGCAGTGAACATTAGGAATGAAGGTTTCCTTTCAAATTAGTGTTTTTTTTTT